AAAAAAAAAATAATGCTTTATTTGCTGGTTTTACTGTGCATCCCTAGAGTCGCAAAAAAAAAAGAAAAAAGAAAATAAACCAACCAACAAAAAACAAAGAAGTTAGGGCAGTGATGAAATTCATTGTTTTTTACTACTGGTTCTATGGGCGTGGCTTTGTGGGCGTGGCAGGGGAAGGATATTGCAAAATTCCCATTCCCTCACCACTCCTGGGGCCAGTCAGAGGTGATATTTGCCGGTTCTCCGAACTACTCAAAATTTCCGCTACCGGTTCTCCAGAACCTGTCAGAAACGGCTGCATTTCACCCCTGGGTTGGCCATAAGGATTGATAAATGTCAAAAATATGTCTATGTTCTGTTAAGTCATGTCTTGAAAATAGGGTAGGTAGGTAGGTAGGTAGGTAGGTAGGTAGGTAGGTAGGTAGGTAGGTAGGTTAGGTAGGTAGGTAGGTAGGTAGGGAGAGAGAGAGAGAGAGAGAGAGAGAGAGAGAGAGATACTATTAGCTTTTTAATAACAATCTCCTTGAAATATGAAAAAAATTGTGAGAAAGAAATTTGTTTTCAGATTGAGCATTAAGCTGCTACAATTTGCAAATGATTGTTTACTTAATTACTTTTAGATATGGTTTAATGTGGTTTTTATATATAAAGAAGCATTGCTATTTGATAGGTTGACATTTTAAACCATATTTTTTATTGTATACCCCTGAAATCTTCCTAGTGGGATGTAAAAAATATTGTAAATAAATGAATGAATTATGTATTCTAATGGGGCATACGTGCCTTCTAATTGTATTCTATTAGTATCTGTTGGCTGGGTTTAAATAATATTTTCCTGCTCCGTTGGCCTCCTGTGGTTCTTAGAATTACAGATGACTGGCTAGGAAGTCCAAACCATCTGGAACTCCAATATACTATATTGGGGAAAACTGGTGTAAGAAAACTGTAAGGTTCTCTCAGAGAACTGGGTATATCTGCAATGCACTTACAATGGTTCCATTTGCGATTTCCGTTTCATTGTACTGACAAATTGATACAAATGTTATTTTGCTTTTCACTGATTAATTCCATATTATTTTGGGGTATGCATCTAAAAGTTTGGTGTACTCTGTGTCCTGTTACTATTATGTATATCCGAAAGAACTATCTAATAGTTTTCCCAGAGGGCTATTTTGGAAATAACTTGTAATGGAGAGAAAAATATCCCACTTCGATCTTCAAATCCACATATTTCCCAGAAGATCCAAGTTTCTAAAAGTTTCAGTTATCATAGATATGAATAAAATAACTCTGTCTTTGAACATTTATATGTGAATGCCCTTCTGCCTTTTCCCAGTCTGGTGCCTTCCCAATGTGTTTGAGTTTCAAGATTGGAAAAGGCCCTTTTATATGATTCTATATGAAAAGTATATTCATATACAATTGACTAGGAATTGTTATCACCTTAAAGTTTGCAAAAGAGTGAGTTTCTAATAAACAACTAATAACTTTGTTCTTTCTTTATGTTATTTATCACAGGCAAAATTCTCTTCCGCCGAAGCCACATCCGTGATGTTGCTATTAAACGTCTTATACCCATTGATGAATATTGTAAGGTATGGATATATTTTAAGTTTGATCAGGGCACCACTTTTAACATATGGCTCCTTATTATGCACAATTATCATTATTGGTTCATATTTATACATTTTCATGTGATCTGGAATGTCACTGCTGTCCATTCAGCGGTTGTGTACATCTGGTCAGAAGGTATTACCAATAGTAGAAGCTTACTTTATAAAGGCTTGGAATTGAGGGGAGGGAGAGACACACCTGTTTTTACCCCCCAAATCCAACTACTACTTGTATGGTCATCTATGAGAGAGATGGGCAGTTGAAAAGTTTTATAAGTGTGTGTGTGTGTGTGTGT